ATAGTTCAGCAGAAAGCAAATTGTTTCTACGCTATTTGTGGCGCTTTGAGCACCCCAAGCCGTGTGTCATCTGATTCCAGCTAGAATGGAGACATCTCTACGGTAGATATCTCCAAAATTCAGCAACTCACACTAAAACTATCTAGATGGATAAATTGCACTACAGGTAAAAAATATGTATTTTGTGATTTGTCTGAACTATGAACCAACCAGCTATAGCACCTGACTTTGAGTACACATTATGTCAAGTTGTCTGCGAGAGTCCCGAAAGCCAGAGGGAGAGAAGTGTTGGACAAGGAACTAGTTCTTGAATAAAATATGACTAAGCATTATCACTAATCCAAAATAAAATCACGTACGGGAACACATACTGTGTACTGCAATAATTTCACAATCTTGCAGCTAAGTTTCATTACACTTGTCAAATGATGTGGTTTTGAATCAAGTTCTGCATTTGAAAACTACAACCAAACCTTCCAAGCTTCCCAGTTGGTATGTTCCACCTCTATAAGGTTTACAGCTTTACAGAGTGTACAACATAAAAATTGAGATTTTCTATTCCATTTTAATTTAAAGTCATTGTCAGCAAATGATAGGTGTATTTCTATTGCTGAGTGTTAAGAACAAATTATGAAATACACAGTTTTGCTGTCACAGTTGGAGATTGTGAAATGAACTGGGGAGTAGAGGCAGAAAGCAGACACAATACTCAGTGCAAGTCCTACATCATCCTACAAAAGGGCTGGTTTGTTATATGGTGGTTGCCTCTTTTGTGGTTTTAACAGTAATTGTACTCACCACTTTAATTACTGAGATCTTGAAACTTAGCAGCGTAACTTAAAAGAAGTCCAACAGGTCAAGAAATACAGTCATACAATCAGATAAAGATTAGCTGAAATCTTTTGGAATAGAAATTAAATATGATGGTAAAACTATTCCCTGAAGTGTCACCACTGCATGGTTCTGTTTAATCTATCATAGTTAAGACTTCTGTACTTTAACATCTATGGAAACCCATTTCCGCCAATGTGACAGAAAAACGATTCTGTAAGTCAATATAATAACAAACTCTCTCATTATAATGACTTAGTATCTCAAAATAATGACTTTGTGATACTAAGTCATTAAACACCCCTTTTCTAAATTGAGAGTCGGATGCTGTCTAACTGCTGTTGCATTAGCTTCTGTACCTCAAGGCAAGGAGGAGTTTTTTGATCCATCTTTGCCCAAATAACAATGAAACATGTTCTTTATGATCCACTTCCTCACATAAATTAACATTTACTACTAAGCAACTGCTTAAAAGTTTGTTTGTGTTTTTTAAGTTAAAAGGTTATTTCATAGTTTAAGTGTGTCCAAAGCATTCAGGTTGCTGCTTCTGGTTTTTAATCCAGCACCGATGCTGCATTCACATGGATTCAGGCAGACGGTAGATGGACAGCACCTTCCAAAGCTCCACTCTGTAACACCACTGTATAATCAGAGCGTTTCTATAGTTACACCAACAAAGTGATGCGTCTTCTCACTAGAAGATTGTGTGGCGTCAAGAGTCAGAACCTCCCAACAAAACTTCCATTCATATCATATAAATACTTTCACCTTAAACACTTATATATATATATATATATATATATATATATCTATATATATGAGGCCACAGATGTTATCTCAATGT